CGCCCTCTGCTCCTCCAGCCTCCTTGCCCTGCGTTGGGCATGGCATTTAACAGGAGGAGTATTCAAGAATAGTTTAAACATGGTATGGCGACGATTTCTCGTGCTTTTTGGCTATTCTTGATTATTGTCTGAGTCTTTGCGGGAGGACATGCCCGACCCAATCCTCACCTCCCCTTCTGCTCCCTCGCCTGCTCCTCCCTTCCGGACCCTCCTCCCTCCAGATCGCCCAAGTGGGGTCGGAGGATCGCGTCGCACGCCGATGCATCAGCGATGCGGCTCGATGTGGAGCCCGACTTTCTCCACGCCAGCGTCGCTGATGCATCGCCGATGCGGCGCGATCCTCCGACCCCATCTTCGTCGATTCCCTTGGGGCGGCTTCCGTCTCCATTCCCAAGACCCCTGGCGCCTCGGAAAAAAATCGAGGCGGCCAGACTCTAGTCTTACGTCGGGCATGTCCCTCTGCAGGAGGAATATTCGAAAATAGTCAAAAATAGTATGGCGACGATTTTTTGAGCAGTTTTGCTTTGAGCATTTCTGGACGGTTTTTTATGTTTCCTCCAAGATCCGCCCGCAGGAGGACATGCCCGACCTGACCCTAGCCCTCTGTGGCCCGTGAAGAGGGGCCGTTGTGGGGCCTCGGGGCCGCAGGAGGCACGAGGCGCTGGCCCCAGGGAAGGGGGGGGGTCGAGAGGCCCGGGGGCCCACGCAGCGAGCAGCATCGGAGCACCGGACGCCTGGGCTTCCCCCCCCAGATCCGACGCGACGTCGCAAAAAATCACGACTGCGTCATTCGAGCAAGACTGCGGGAGTTTCCCTGCGATCCCTCCCCGCGAAGACTTGCAGCAGCGTTAGGACCACGACCGGAGCCCTGACCGGGTCGAGGGGCCCAGGGGCCCACGCATCGAGCAGCATCGGAGTGCAGCGGAGACCCTTGCCCAGACACGCCCTGCTTGCTTCCAGGGTGCCCTGGGTTTCTTGGGTTTCGATGGCTTTGCTGTGGGAAGCGTGGCGTTCCTGCACCAGGAATCCATGGGCGTCCAGGGGTCTCAGGGTTGGGTTTCTTGTGGAAGGTTTCTTGTGGACTGGCCTCCACTGTACCGGATGCCTGGGCTCCCCCCCCCCAGATCCGACGCGACATCGCGAAAAATCACGACCAGAGCCCTGACCCCATCTTTCTGCAGCAGTTTTCGAGCCAGATCGATTTGTGATGGCCCTGTAGGGCCTGGGGCTAGGCGCAAACGCGCGGCGTGAAAAAGTTGCAACGCCCGGATCTCAGGGTCTGCAGAGGGGCCGGGAGCTGGTGTAGCCCTCTTGCTCCCCAGCCGTCGACCCAGAGATAGCCCAGCTGGCCAGGGAGCTGAGCGCGCTGCCGCTCCGCTGCCGCGGCCCCGAGAAGCCAGGGCAGAGGAGGCCGGGGCCGGCGTGGACGTTGACGCTCCTCAGCGGGCCCGAGGAGCCCGAGGGGGCCGCACCCGAGGGGCGCGCGCCAGAGGTCCACCGCCAGAGTGAATTCCTCGTTCTCGTCCTCGTCCTCGTCCTCGTCCTCCTCCTCTTTCTCCGCCTCCTCCTCCTCCTCTTCGTCATCGTCCTCGTCCTCTCTCTCTCCCCCTCTCATCCCGAGCCGCCCAAAGCCTCCGAAGGCCCGGGGAATCGGCCGATCGCCTCCGACGGCCGATCGCCTCCCACGTCCATACCGAGGAGCAGGGGATCGACTACAGAATTCATTCACTCCAAAATTGGTTGTCCCGCCGAGTATACAAGAAGCGCGTAAGATGTTCGTTGATCTACGGGACATTATAAGTATTTGTTTGTAGATTCGGCGGGAAAATGATTTTCGGGGTAAGTCAATTCTGTAGTCGATCCTCTACTCGAGCATCCACAGCTTCGGAGTCGTTCCCGTTGCTCTCGAGGAACGGTGGATAGGGATGCTTGCCCGCCCGCGTGCGCGCGCAGGTGTGCCTCCCTAGAAATCCAACGCACTGAGAAAACTTAGGACGGAGGTTTCGAAAGTCTTTCCTGCCTCTGGGGGTCCTCGCTGGGCCCCTGGATTTCAAAGGACGGCACAGTGTGGATGAAAAGCCGGTCTTTGGGAGTGAGTCGAGACTTCATTCAGAGACCAGATCCTGGGTCTCTGAGCCCCCAAGATACGACCCCGCGGCAGTGGATATTCGACACCGCCTGAATTTACAAATGCTATGTGTGCTACTGCCGCGCAAGGGCGACGCGCACGCTCAAACATCTCATAGTACAAGCTCCGTGGCGGGCGCTTTCTGGCCATACCGCTCGGGAGACGATCGGCGACAAGAGCTTGCAGCCTATGTTCGGTTCGGACGCGTCCCTCCAGCGGTCCAATGGAAACGCATCATACTAGCATGCCCTGGGTATGGACATGTTCTTGTGGCGGCGCCGGAGGGGCCCGCGCCAGAGGGGCCCGCGCTGGAGGAGCCCGCGCTGGAGGAGCCCGCGCCGCAGGGGCCCCCGCCGGAGAGGCCCGCGCCCAAGGCGAAGCGCAGGCGGCCGCGGCGGGCCGCGCGGGTGGCGCCGGGGGCCGCGGGTGACCTGCTCAGCGACACGGAGGACAGCGAGGCGGAGGATTACCTGCTGTCCTTGTCGGCCGGAGGGGAGTAGCCCCGAGGGAGGACAGCGGGGGCCCCCAGGTCAGAGGCTCGTTCTGGGGACCTATGCCCAGTGGGTCTTTTTTCCACTCTATATAGTTCGAAGCTGGTCGAGTTCGATTCCGGCTCGACTCGAGTTCGACGCAAGTTCGGCTCAAGGCCACGGACGTTCGACGCAGCATCGACGCATGATTGGAGCAAGTTGCTCCAGGAAGGTCCCCAGAGCCAGCATCTGACCCAAGCGGTGTGGTGATCGCACCGTGTGGTCAGTTAGTGGGGACTCGGAGTGGCCGCGCGGTTTTGGGACCTGGGTCGTTGTCCGAGGACGTCTCGGACGATGGGGGCCTCCAAGGTCCCAGAACTGGGCGGTGACGGACCGTGCGGGGAGGTCTTCGGTCTGTCACCGCACCGCCTGGGGACCCCCCCATGAGGACGAGGGCGCCGGTGAGAGGAGCGGCTTGCGCGCCAGGGACCGGTCGCGGCGAAAGTGGACCGTGGCCGAGCTCGGCGCTGGGGAGCCTGAGCGCGGGAGCAGGGCCGTCCTCTGCAGGGCGGCGGGGGGCAGAGCGCACGCGACGTTTTTTCAGGTCTCACCCGGTGCTCGCGGCGTCCCGCAGCGCAGCACGATGATACAGTCTGCTGCCGCGGGGGAGACACCGCTTGCCACTACGCAACTGTTGCGCACGGCCGCGCGCGGCGCGGGTCAAACCACGGCCGTCGTCATCGCAGGCGCTGGCACTGGCAGCCGCGTTCGTCGTCGTCCTGGTGAGCAGCATGATCGGGCAGCGCCAGCGCCAGCGCTGTGGTTGTCGTGTGAGGAGACTTCGATGTGCACAGACGCGACCACCATCGTGGGTGGTGTTGTCCTCACGGGCGGCGTGTCAGCCCCACCCCTCGCAGACGGGGACATCGCAAATGTGGACGTTGTCAGACCTAGGGTACGGTAGGTTCGCGTCGTGCCGACGTGGCGGCGACCCTGCCTCGTGCTTGCAAGGTTGAACGCCACCTGTGCCCCCGAATCAGCCAATATGGCAAAGCCGCCGATCGTTCAATATTGAACGATCCACGCGATTGGACGCTGGTCTGGACGTGTTCTTGCCCCCCGCATATGGTTTTCCTACGCATCGGAGCTCCCAAGAGCTTCCACGCGGTGTCAGGTCAGAAAGCAACGCCAGGGTCGTCACGACAGGAACCTGCCGTACGATAATTAAAAGGGGGCTTCCAGATGAGTTTTTGGGGGTGCCATCGCCCGCATTGGCAGAGCTCCGACGACGTGCTTTTTTGCATAGTCCCTGGAGCTCCCGACACCGTTCCTGCGGCTTTTTTTTCGCCGCGGGTCGGCCGTTCGATTTTCTCTGGGCCCATGGGGCCTGAATGCCGCACCCCCAAAGCGCCTGACTCGTTGAAAAACCTGTGCGGTGCATCTTTCGCGACGCAAGAGGTCTAAATCTTCTCTTCTTGCGGCCTCGAGGCGTCGGTCAAGGGTGCCGAAAGGGAGGATGGGCTCCATGGGGGAGACATCGACCTCCAATCGCCCGCTCATCGCCGATCGGTGATTGGGTGCTCCGACCAGCCCAGGAGCGTGGGGCTTCGCGAATTGTCGGGAGCCAATCGCCAATCTGCCGACCATCTACTGTCGGTTTGATGCCGATCCTGACCTCCGACTTGGTTTTTTCGAGGCGCTGGCCCCTGGAGCTCTCTCCAGCCCTTCCCTGGAACTCCAGGACCAGCTTTTCACCTCGAGTTGTCTCTTGACGGCGATGGGGCCCCAGGAGGCCGAGAGTGGCGAAACGTTCAGGTTGATCGTTCAGAGTCGCCAGATGATGTCTGGGTCTCCTCGTCGACATCGCCTCGCGGACCTTTCCTCGGGTGCGTCCGGGCCAGACTCGAGGCGGAGCCAGCCGTGGCGACGAGAAGCCCCGCGGAGGACCACGGAGGGCCGACGCCGCCTCCGCGCAGGTCCTCGAGCCTCCGTCCGGGGAGCGCCCACTCCCCTCGACCTGCCGCGACGGCCCGAAGCCATTTTGGCTGCCGGCAGCCCCCTTCCCCTCACTCGGCGACTCCGACGGGTGTGGCTTGCAAAGGGTGTGGTTTGCAACCCGCGCCCAGGGGGGGTGGCGGGCGAGGACGTCAGCGGAGATCTCTGCCGCGCCCCGACGAGGGCTTGTCAAGCCTCTGGCGCATCGTGGTGTCCCCCTATGCTTGGAAAGTGAAGGTTTCGCTAGGTGTTCTTTTTTGGGCCCCCCTCCAAAATGGCCGAAGCCCTTCCGAAAGCCTCCGACAACCCTCCCGGACGGGTTCCAGGAAACTTTTCGGAGGGTTCCCGGAGGATTCCAGAAGGGTCTTGGTCGTTCTGGGGGCACACCAGTCCTGAGCGAACCCTGGGCCTCCCAACCCGAAGCCCCAACGGCGCCGATCGCAGGCCACACCCCAGCGTAACCAGACCCCTTGGTAGTCGCCGACGCGCGGGCGGCCGCAGAGAGGCCCCGGTGCCACGTCGTGGGCCCAGAGCCTGCGGGCGTCGCGCGAGGCGCGGGCATGACGTGGCCGCCGTCGCGGCGGGGCACAGCCCGCCCGGGCGGGGAGTGTGGGAAGCCACGCTCCAGGTCTGGAGCCCAGCCTCAGGCCTCCCAGCTGGGGTCGGAGCAGAGGGGGGGGGAGGATCGCACCGCATCGCCGATGCACCGGCGAGGCGACTCGGTGGGGAGCCTAATTTTCTCCACGGCGACGACGCCAGTGCATCGCCGATGTCGCCGGTGCATCAATGCATCGTCGGTGCATCGCCGATGCATCGGCGATGCGGCGCGATCCTCCGACCCAATCTTCTCCGACTTCATGTAGGAGGCCTCTACATACCTCCTCGCGTCGTGAAAACATCGCGGCGGGAACATTTTTTTTGTTGTTGTTGTTGCTATTTTCGGCCTCTGGAGGCCCTTGCCGGGCCCCGGGGCCGTCAACAAAACCCCTCTGGAGGAACAGCCGGTCCACAGGACTGGGTCGAGAGGTCTGGAGGTCCATGCTGTGCGCAAAAATCACGACGCCGGGGATCTGAGGAAAAAAAGCTATGTAGACAGACACTTCCGGATGTCCGCGCGGAGTTCTTGGAGCACCGCTGGCGGCGCCGCCACGCGCGCCAGGGACGGGGCGTGGGTGGTGCCGAGCGCCGATCCAAAAAGTCCGCGATCCTCCTCCTCCTCCTCCTCCTCCTCCTTCCGTTGCCATTTTGGCTCAAGATGGGAGCAGGTCCCATTTGGGCGGGCAGCTTCTCTTGAAGAAGCGATTCCGAGTGTCGTGCTCGGACGGACACCTCTTGCCATGTCTTCCGCCTCTGTCATCACCTCTGGTGCGTCGCCTTCCAGTGATGATGCGATGGAGGACGCTTTCGAGTTTCAGCGACAGGTTCGTCCACGCGGGCCTGAAGCGGGTGCTGATCTCGTTGCGATTCTTGGGCGCATGGAAAGGAGCATGGTCACAAAAGACGACATCCTCGGTCTGCAGTCGTCGGTGGCGAAGAGTGAGGAGAACATCGCCCAGCTCACCGTGCGCATGGATACTCTAGAAGAACAAATGAAGTCAGGGCTAAATACCGCTCAAGAAACGGCACTCTTTGCTCGATTGGAGGCGAAGATCCTGAACTCTCAGTCCCAATCTGATGTAGCTAGCACTCGATCTGGCTCATCGTCTATTGCCTCTCACCCGCGTTGGCGGAGCAGGTCTGCTGGGCCGCTGGTTCGGGAAGTGTGGATCGTGGAGCAGATCCGACCAAGATTTGGATTGGTGGTTTCAAGGCTCCGATGTTGGCTCGTGTGATGACAAAATACATGCAGGACACAGTCATCCCTCACCTGCCTTCGCACATCAAGCCCCCCTCCCAGATCATCGCGCGCAATCTCAACAAAGCTTTCTGTGTGAAGTTTGAGAACGACACCGATTCGAAGGCGTTTCTCGAGCATGTCAAGACGCACGGTTTGCAGTTCGTCTCCCCCCAGGGCCACATCTTTCTTCGTGCTCGTCGTGACGCTACCGCTGATGTTCGGCGTCGAAATATTATTCTTGGGCGTGTGTGGCAGGGGGTCTCGCAGCATTTCACCGCCAAGGGGATTGGGCAGGAAATATCGCTTGCAGTCAATGGCCACAAGGGTATCTTGTTCTTCACTAAGAACGAGGAAGTCACGGTCTTGTGTTCGCTCATCGAGAACCCCGACACCTCTGCCAGTCTCAGCCCAGACTTTGCCGCGTTCCAGTCCTTGAAGATGGAGATGGACCAGGTCACCGCCATCATGAGAGGAGCCATCGAATAGGGAATGTCTTCGCCTATCACGTCCGTCCAAGGGGATCGACCGAGTGGGTGCTGTTGTGCTCCTGCCGTACATAGTACGCAACGTGGGCAACGGCGTCGGTCTGCTTCTATTTCGAGCTCTTCCTCCGTTTCCTCCTCTGCGTCTTCCTCGTCTTCGGGCTCATCATGCTCTTCTTCGGCTGCTTCGGAGGGCTTGTCTCTGCGTTGCTGCCGCACGCCGTTTTATCCTAGTTCTGACTTCTCCATTGTCACCTGGAACGCCAGATCTCTGTTTGGGGGCTTGTCCACCAGTCATACCAAACTTAAGCAGAAAATCCAACAGTTGTATCGGCTTTGTCAAGCCCACGATGTCGTCTGTATCCAGGAGGCTCGCGGGACCTATCACGACTTAGATTTAATTCTGAAGGAGTTCCAGGGTGTCAGCGGAAAAAGGTACCTTCTTTAGCGATCGTTCTGCTGGCGGCAGTCTCATTCTTCTGCACCCTCGGCTCCGTGGGCAGTTTCTCGATCTTCAACATCAAACTCTCGTGCGTGGGCGTGTGCATCTGGTCTCTCTTCATGGCATACATGGTACTCTACAGATATGTAACATACACATAGATCCGGGGGCGTTGGTTTTGCAGCAAAAAGGAGAGCTTCGGTCCATCCGCAGGTCCCTGTTGGGGGCTGATGTGAGCACGGGGTTCCTGTGTGGTGATTTCAATTCTCCTGCTGACGGTGAAGGTTCGTTTTCGGCTGATGGTCATATTCGCTATGGTAACAGCAGCCGTGATGCATACTTCTCCGATCTCTTTCCCGACCTGTGCGAGGTAGACCAGCACCACTTCACCCATCGCGTGATGGATGCGAGTGGCCCCAGGTCCGCTATTTTGTCTCTGGCGCGGCTTGATCGGATTTACTGCAACATCCCCAGCAGCATACTGCTCGACTTTAAGCCGCTCGGCCTTGTACTGCGGGCCTCACAGGGAGAGTGGCCACTCTCCGATCATGCGCCTGTGCTTCTTCGGCTTAACGTTTCGCCGCCCAGTGGGTTTCGTGTCCCGTCCTGGGTACCTCGGCATCCTAAGTATCGTGAGTTTTTGGATGAAATTGCTGATTCTGCTGGCCCTCGGGATCCTGACCCTATCCTGGCTCTTGGTGAGACAAAAGCAATCATCAAGGCGGCTGCGAAACGTGTTATTGAATTCTCACGCTCTGGTGGTCCGCTATCTGTGGAAGAGAAGGTGCATTGGGCTCTGGCGGCTCTTCGTAGCCTTCGGCGCGGGCAGTTGCTTTTTCTTCGGAAGGCTCTGGGGGCCTTCAGCGATCTGCAGCAGTTCATATGTTGGGAATCTGGACATAGGATTGATTTTCATGGATTTCACAGGTTTCTAAGCGAACTCAAGGCTGAGCAGATCCAGGGGCAGATTCAGGATAATGGAGAATCCGACAGGCCGGTGGTTCAGAAGCATGCTGTTCGAAACCGTCTCACGTCATATCTCTGTGCCTGGGGCCGAAGAAGGAGGAGGATCTCGCTCTCTGCTATTTCCGACCCGACGGGTCTCCAGGTTTCTGAACCTAGCGCTGCGGCTAAGTTGCTGGCGTCGCACTGGGGGCACGTGCGTGCTTTTGTCGAAGGTGAAGATGCCAGGCGGCAAGAACTCATACCCTTCATCGCGCAGGTGCCCCCTCTCATGTTCTGGGAACTTGAGTTCGATGAATTCTGTCAGCATGCTCAATATGCCCGTGACTCGTGTCCTGGGCCCGACGGGATTCCGTACAGTGCTTGGTTTCGAGGCGGTACCTGCACGATGGAACCTCTCTTTGAAGTGTACCAGGAACTTCTCGCTCATGGGCGACTTCCTGATGAATTTAATCATGGCATCGCTGTTTTCTTACCCAAGGGGGATGCCCCCAGCGATGCCGTGGACGCAGTCTTCCGTCCACCTGAGCAGACCAGGCCTATTACTCTTGGAAATTTGGACAACAAGCTGATCAGCCGTGCTATTAATAAACCTGTCGTTCGTGTCCTCCAGGAGTGTTGTATCGACTTCCAGCGTGGTTTCATCCCTGGGCGCAAGTTCACCAACAACATTGTAGCTCTGGAATCTCGGGCTGTAGAACGGTTTGTTCATGGCGGACTTCAAGCGACGGGTTACGTTACGTTTGGTATTAAGGCTGCCTTTCCTACTCTCCTCCACTCCATGATTATGTTCGTCCTCAAAACCATGAAGTTCCCGAAGAAAATCCGCAGGGCGGTTGCCGCTCTTTATCAGCATGTGTGGGTTTCGGTATCCTTCTGCGGGGTGCAGGACTCTGGATGGTGGGTCAAACGTGGGATCAAGCAGGGGTGCCCGCTCTCCTCCTCGCTCTTCGTGCTGTGCATCGATCCGATCTTAAGGATGCTTGAGCAGCGCCTTCAGCGTGTGCCTTCGGCGCTGGGTGCCTGTGCTGACGATGTGGGGCTCGTCTCACAGGACGTGTATCGAGCTCTGGCCCTGGCACTTCCTGTATTTGATTGTGCTGCCCAGGCGGCTGGACTCGAGCTCAACGTCACGAAATCTATCATTGTCCCTCCTCGCCGCCCTCCCTGAACATGAATATCGCCACCTCCTCGACGTTGCCGGTTTATCCCCTTCCTTCAAGGTGCAGCATATGGCTAAGTACTTGGGTATCTTTCTTGGGCGTGGTGGGTCTGTTCGTTCTTGGGATGCTCCTGCCAGGAAATGTCTTGGGCAAGCTATTGATACTAAATCTCTCGGGTTGGGTCTGGTGAAAAGTATCGCACTATTCAATCAGAATGGTTTCAGCTGTTTGTCGTGCGTATCTCAATTCTTCTCACCTCCCAAGTCTGTGCATGAAGCGGTCCGTGCAGCTGGACAAGCGTTGGTGTGCGGCCCGCGGAGCGCTCTTAGTCCTGCCATGCTCGGGAATTTAACGGCGCTGGGGCTACCGTGCCAAATGAGAAGGCTGGATCTGGTTTCGAGGGCCACTCTTTACCGTTTCGCCTGCAATTCGATCGAGTTTTATCGCGCGAAGACGCGGATCCAGGCGATGGCCGCCAGCGACGAGTGTAAAATTCTATGGGGCAGGGATCCCCTATGGTTGCAGTCATCCATGCACGCCCTTATCTCTAACTATGATCAGTTATGTGCCGTGCCGAAAGTACCCGTCCCTGGAACTCCGCGGATCCAAGCTGCTACGACGAAATGGCTCTATCATCTTGCCCCCGAAGGATATCGTGTCCCGCTCCTGTATCGGATGAAGAAGTTGGGGGTCTCCGCGAGGTGTTGTGATCTTGACCCAGCCCTGATGGCGCTCCGTAGA